GTGAAAAATGCAGTGCAGTTTCATGCTTATTGCCTTCACCCACACAGGTCCCTTCTGAAACTTGGGAGGTCTCTTTCCTCTTGAAAATTCCTCCTTGTTCTCCAAGGGCTAACCTGAATGTTACCTCCTTAGTGAAGTCTTCCAAAGCTCATAATGCAGTGGTCCTCGAGTTTGAATGTACACCAGAATACCCTGTGTGATGGTTCCCACCCTCAGACTTTCTGCTGGTAGCACCTGAAAATTTTCATGTCCAGTGAGCCATCAAATGAAGTTAATGTCCCACTAAGCACCCCTGTCTCTAGACACTGGCCACAGTGACTCTGAGCTCTAAGCAATTTCACCCTTTGTATATGCTCCCATTACACACCCCCACTCCAGACTGTGAGCTCCTCAAAGATGAGGCCAAGTCTTAGTCATACCTCTAATTCCCAGTCTCAGTGTACAGTCAGTATTCAGTGCCTGAGTACCACACTCAGGGATGGATGAGTCATGAATGGATGGATGCGTGCAAGGACAGATGCAGTAAACGGATGAATGGACAGCACTGAATTTATTTACACGGCTTTTACATTTAGGTCCAAGATTTTGAGATGCCTATCCTCACCTCAAAAACTATCCTGAAAACATTATGGGTAATAGATTCCCACCGTGCAGAGAAAGCAAAAGGAAATTCAAGAACACTTCTGAAACTGTGAGCTTGGGTCATTTAGATTTTGAATTTTAATCCCACTAACTAATGTGGCTCTTACAGGGTCACAACAGAGTGCTTCTGAATGGTATCGCTCACAGTTCAGACACCCCATCCCTCCTTTACTCATGTATTCCTCTAATTATCTGTGGCTATATCCATATATAGATGACTGCGGTAAGATAAGCTGTGGGAGGAAAGAGCCCAGTCTCATCCAGGAAGAAGGGCAACAGCAGAAGGGAGGAGGACCCCATCAGAAAGGTCATCTCTCTAGGGAGGGTCTGAGTTCCAAGCATTTCTGGGCTGCTCATCTGTCACTGAGGCTGAGATCCTCAAGCACAGGGAGAAGGGGCAAACCTATAGGAGATACAGAAATGGACAGTCGGGAGAAAATGAGAGACTAGGAGAGGAAGGAAGGCGGGTATGCATCCGCTGGGCGGGAGCAGGAGGATAGCAGGAGTGGCAGTCAGCTGCTGAGCTGGCAGCTCAGGGCAACATGTGCTGGGGGAGGGGAAGGTCAGTGCTGACTCTAGCCCGTCACTCCACCCTTTCAGCTGAGCAGCAGCAGGTATGAGGATGAGCCACGGGCTCTGCCCAGGATGCAGTTGGAAGGGATGGAGCAAGGGACAGCAGGAGTACCAAAGTCAAAAGGTCTTCATGGCTGCAGGTGGTGTGTACCAGCTGCCTGTGGTCCTGCGTACTCCTGTGTCTGTGGTGCTCTTTTTCCATGACAGCAGCTTGGGTCACCCTGCAGCTCTGCTAAAGGGGACATCAGCATTTCTACTTGCCAGCATCCAGGCCTTCTCCTGGGGGAGCCACAGATTAGGCTCCCAGATTAAGTTCTCCTGCCCTGCTCCTGCACTCTGGAAGCCTGGCTGGGGGAGGACCATGGAGCTGAGCCCTCAGGATGCTGCTGAGCTGTCACATTCAGTCCACCACACAGCCCCAGTGGCATTTAGGGGCAGGATGGATGGGAGCCCATTCCAAGCCCCAAACAGTGAGAGCAGCTAATGACCGGGTATTAATGATGCCAGCAATTAGTGCTCACAGGAAAATGGTGGGGGCCTGCTCACCAGGGACATGTGGGAGGAAACAGAGCGAATATTCAGAGCAGCAAGCAAATCAGTGGCGTGTGTGGCCCACAGAAGCAAGGAGAGCAGCTGCCTCAGAGTGTGTCCAGAGAAATCAGGACTCATCTAGGATGGCTTCTCCAGATACCCAGAGCTTTTGCTGCTGTGCTCCCTTCCCTCTGGGTGAAATTGGGGTTGATCACAGAGTTCTCAGAGAGGAAGCAGGGAGAAGATGTCACCAAGAAAAAGGTGTTTGTGAGGATTCTGAAACCTTCTTTGTGTGCAGAAGCCCTAGATTAGCCCAGATACAGCTATTCTTTTCTGGTCAGTCAAATGATCCTTTGTGAAGAAGCCAGCTTCTCATCAATAGAAAAGGAGACAGGGACAGTTGGAGCATGTGTGCTCACTCACAAGCCCACAGAGAGATGGAGAGATAAGCAAGGGTCATTTTTCAGGGTGGCAGATTCCTTACTAAGCAAGACCATGTGCCCTCCCAGAGAGGACTTGAGAAGGACAAAGACACCTACTGATAAGATTTCATGGGAGCTCCTGGTGGATAGAGCAAAGAATGACAGTGCTGGTCTCAGAAGTCAGGGTCAACTCAGAGGGAACCTCAGGAATGGCTGGGGAGGAGACCCCCCCCCTTCTTTCACTGCCTATTGTTGTCAAGACTTTGGACATGTACATATGCACATACACAAACATACATGCACCATTCACTAAAGGACACTACAGGGGAAGTGGAGAAAAACAACACAGACAAAAGCGAAGTCATCCAAACTCTATAGGACAGGCTGCTGCTATACATGGGAGCAAATGGCCAGGCACTGAAGAAACTCAAGAGATGAGCTAGCAATGGAGGCGTGAGAAAGCTAACAGACACTTTAGAGAGAACAACAATCACAAATAAATGCTTTCTAGATAATGCCTAAAATCAAGAGATCATTTCTAGCCTCCTCCCAGTAGAAGACAGCAGCTTCTTGTAACCTCCTAGACACTCAGACCAGAAAAGGAAAAGAGAAGAGCAGGGAAGTGTGACTACCAGCCGCCAGGGTACAGGTGCATCTTCTTCTCTGATAGAAGAGAGCTCTCCCAGAGAGAAGACAGAAAATGGTGTCACAGACACACAGGATGTGGTGCCGAGAGGAATGAAGCCATCAAATTCCTCCTGTCCTACGTTTCAGATTCTGCCCAGATGGCAATAAGAGGTGAGAAAACAAGGCCCTGTCCCATTAAAAGTTAGAGCCCTAAAAGTCAGAAAGGAATTAAAGGTGTCACAGGATGAATTCTCCCCAACTCCAAATTCCTGTATTGAGGCTTACCAACCTAGCACTTTGACTTTTGACTCTACTTGGAGAGCATCTTTAAAGAAATAATTAAAGGCCTGGAGAGACAGCTCAGTGGTTAAGAAGATGAATTGCTCTTACAGAGGAGCTGAGATTGGTTCCTAACATCCACATCAAGTAGCTCACAACCACCAGTAACTTTAGCTCCAGGGGATCCAGTGGCCTCTTCTGACCTCCATAGGCACTGCACTCACATGCATATACCCACATCCAGACACACACATATAGATAATTAAAAATAGAAACAAACCTTTAAAAAAGAAAGAAGTGATTGAAGAGGCAAAGTCAAAATAAGATCATGGGGCAAAGGAGGTGCCTCAGTCTGGTAAAGTATTTACTGTACAAGCATGAGGTCCTGAGTTTGGATCCCCAACACCCATGTAAAAAATCTGGGTGTGCCTGTAATCTCAGAGTTAGGGAGGAAGAGACAGGTGATCCCTGGAGCTCTCTGGACAGCCAAATCAGAGAGTTTCAAACTCGGTGAGAGTCAAGAGACTGTGTCTCAAAAAGTAAAGTAAAGAGCAATTGAAAACACCTGCGCGCGCGTGCGCGCACACACACACACACACACACACACACACACACACACACACACACACACACGAATACTCACATGCATGTATACAGGCACACACACAATATGAGGCAATTGGGGTGGGTCAGATCCAATCTGACTGGTGACCATATGGGAGGACATTTGTACACAAAAATAGTGCACATTTACGCACAGAAAGGAAAGACTATATGACAAGAGAGCCAAGGGACAGCCATCTTGCAAGCCAAGGAGAGGCGTATCAGGAAACCTTGACAATACCATGGACTTCTGACCGCCAGTCTCCTGAGAAATAAATTTCTATAGCTTAAGTTTCCTGGTCTGAAGTATTTTACTATGGTAGCCATAAATGCTAAGAAGTAGCATGACCAGGGGAACATGGGATGTGGGTGAGGAGGAACTGTACAAACAAGGTCTTGGTCAGAGGTATGTTAATGAATTCAGATACCTGGTAAAGTGCCCATTTGACATCAGTCAGCTAAGTTGATGGTCTAAACTATACAAGATTTATCTCTGAATCCTAGAGTCTGGGTGTTTTTTTAAAGTCCACTCCTTTCACTACATGAAATTATTCACTTTAAGAACACATAGCAATTTGTATAAACAAAGCAAAAACCCACATCACATATCCACAAATATCGCCCCCACTGCAAGTGATCTCAGGATGACCCAAATCTTGAAGCAAGCTTCAAAGAGTCCATGATCACATGCCATTTTGAGGTTTTTGTCAGCCCAGAGACGATAATGGATGGTAGAGAGCTAGTCAAGTAGGAAATGTTAAGTTCTTTCTGATTCCTGATTCAGAACTAGTAGTTGAGAAAGGAAAGACAGAATAGAAACACAAAGCAGCAGGATCACTTTGGGTCTTCAGAACCAAGGGTCATCTCAAGTGACACATGCACCCAGATTTACCACTTGAGTATACCAGTGAAAAGCATGGCAGGAGAGCTCTGTATTCAAAGCTGTGACCTTACAACAAAGCCACAGCAATCAATCAATGCACATCGATCATTCCCAAAGGCTGCCCAGCAGCTGTGAGTGGTCTTCTTGGACTGAGAGAAACAAAGGGCAGGTCTGGCCTTTGACAGTGGCCAGGTAAGGACACTTCCCTTCTGCTGGATATTGACCAACCATCCTACCTCTGTCCACAGGCAGCTCACTCTTAGATAGTAGCTAGGCTCAACCACAGGTGTGGTGACTGGCTAAGCTAAGGAGCCAACTCACTTCAGGACACTGGGACCCAGTAATTGTTACTGCCAGAAGATGCAGGAGGTAGAAAAAATATTGTTCCCCATGCTGCCCACCCCATCCCTCGCTCTCCAACTTTATAAGGGAGGACTCACGTCTGTGGTTCTCGTTTCTGTGGTTAGGTGGGGACCGAGTCTCCTGGTCTTGGGCTTCATCCCCCTCCTCACTGGCCAGGTGGGTGTGAGCGTAGTGGTAGCTGAGTCCCGGCCGGTTCTTGTAGCGCTTGCCACAGACTAGAGAGGAAAAGAGAAGAAATGGAAAACGGTCAACGTCAGCAACTTCTGTGGTCACTCTCATTCTCCAGGGCAGCAATTCTCAGAAGTCCACACCAGAGCCAGGGTTCCCTTAATAAGAATGTCACCTCAGACCAACACCACTGTAATAACATGGCTCATATAGACAAAAGCATTTAAAAAAGAGCGTAAGGGTTTAAGAGCTGTGTAAGCATGCCACCATTCTGGCTGGGAGACTCCAGGCAAGTCAATGAACTGTTCTCTATGCCTCTGTTGCCTCGGAGACAAAATGGAAATGATAACAGTACTTACCTCATTAGCCATACAGAGCACAGACCACTTAAGCAGACACTCTGTTTGTATGCTTGCTTGTTACAGTGCTGGGTACGTTAGGCAAGTGTTCCATCACTGAGCCATACCCCCAGCCCTACACAAACCACCCAAAACAGGGCTGGGCACATGGTAAGAGGAACTATCATTACAGATTTGAACTGAAAAGTCACTGGAAACCTATCTGGTCCAACATCTCAGGGCACCAATGAGACAAGTGAGACCAGCAACACTAAGTAACTTGCCTGAAACACACAGCAGTTGTGTAAGGGCTTACCAGAACCCAGGTCTCCTGGATTCCTCTGCAGTGCCCCGTGCACTCCCCTGTGGTCGATTCTATGTGAAGTAGGAAAGTTTCCTATGGGTAATACTCTCAATGCATCACCCTATGATTTGTGCCAAAAAACGTGTGTCACTTCCACCATGAGCGACACGAGGCTGAGGCATCCTGGTCAGTGTGGTAACCAAGAACTTGTGACCTTGATGCTTCAATTAGCCTCTGGTATTCCAGATCTATAAAAGCTCTTCCTCTCAATGAGACAACTCCAAACAAAGGTAACAGGAATATAACTTCTTAGAAGCAAGAAGAAAGGGAGTCATTCAGTGCACTGGCTACTCAGGCCCTGGAGAGCAAGAAATGGGCGAAGTGATCTCAAACCAGACCAGCAGCCTTGCCTCACTCACACTCAGCCCAAATCTCAGCCTCTGGGACATGAGGTTGCTGATAACAAAAACCTCAGGGTCTTCATGATAAAACTATGATGCCAAATGTCCCATCTTACTCTCCTTCTCCCCAGCAAAGCAAGTCAGGTGGGCCCTGCTGGAGTGCTGAAGGGGGGCTAGTTCTGAGGGACCCTTCCTCTACCCACTGATGACACTGACCACTGGAACCAAAGAGCATAAATGCTTCTGGGAGGGAGGGAGCACAACATTATCAGACCTGGGTTCAAATTCCAGTTCCGGATGTCCAAATTCAGTGGCTATGACCATGGCCACATGGAGAGCCATTAGCCAGCTCTCTTACCAGCTACCATAACAACATCTCAGAGGATGTCTATGAAATTCTCCAGGTGTTTTGTTTTTGTTTTGTAAACAACCATTGGCAAAAATAGATAATCCCATCTCTCATCTCTTCTTTCCCATATTTATATAAACTATTTCTTATTTGCTTAATTCATTTTGAATAATCACCAGGACACTATTTCTAAACAATAAAATCAGGTACTTCCTATTTTTATGAAGTTGGATCTAGTTTTTTACTGTTTAGAATGGTGTATATAGCTAGTTATAACCCTTAGCCATTTAAGTGCTTCCTCTTATTCTTGTCCTAGTCACTGTAGGATCATTATATCAACTGCCTTTTAACCATCTACTAATACGTGGCTCTTCTGTAGTTTATGGATATGGTGAATTATGTTGATTTCCTAATGTTTTCTATTACTGAACCATTCTTGCATTCCTAGAACACACTCCATTTAGTCAAAGTAACTGTTCATTTGATAAACTGATATATTCAATTTATTAATATTGCATCTATTCTCAAACTTGATGTAGATTTGGGGGCTATCTTTATCAGGGTTCAATTTTATGGTTATATGAACTTCCAAGAATGACTGGGAAGGTTTTGCTAGGTGAAATTAGATAATATATGTAATCTCTGTATGCCTTTTCTCTGGAGATGAAGATATTTATCATGAAGATGAATTAAAAGATCATAAATAGGGTGCTAGAGAGATAGCTCAGTGGTTAAGAACACTGACTGCTTTTGCAGAGGATTCAGGTTCGAGTCCCAGTACCCACAGCTAACAATTGTCTGTAACCCCAGTTCCAAGGGATCCAATGCCCTTTTCTGACCTCCATGGGCATTGCATGACATGGGTGTATCTTCCTGCATACAGGCATAGCACTCATACTCATAAAATAAAAATACTAAATAAAATATTTTTTAGAAGTTCATAAATAGTACTTGTAGAGTATCACTGAAAACCCAACACATAATAAATGTTCAATAAGTGATAAGATACATTAGCCTTGCTTGTGATGTCTTAAAGGTTAGATTCTCTAAAATAGGGGCTTTGACCTGTGCGTCACACTCTGGAATCTGGCAACTGGTTAGATTTCCTTGATAAGCTGAGTGTTTGAAATTCAAGCTGGTGACCTAGCAACTGTAAATTCAAGGCCCCGTCCCCCCATAAATATTTCAAAACATAGAATAAAATGGTACCAACATCTCAATTCCATGTGACTGGGGAAGCAGGACCTAAAGAGGCCCCTGAGGTACACTCTCTGCCTGCTTGTGGCTTTTTCCATTTAACCTTTTAAATGATCTGAGGTCAATAAGAAGCAAATTACAGGATCATTGGATATGAATCCACTTAGTCGCCAAGCATACTGTTGATGAGGAATTCATGTCTATTTAAAGTAGTGATATAATCAGTATTTACACAAGGCAGCCCCAGACCTCTGGAGATCCACCCACGATAAAGCCCATGGCAAGCCACTTGTGCCATTTTCTGTGCCAATTGTTGTTCTTTTTCTTCATCATAGAATTTCAAGACCTTAACAGTCACTTGGACTAACCATCTATCCAATGACTTTATTGCCACTAACACTCTAGAAGCCTGTTCTGGGACACCAGGGATAGGGAGTTTACTACCCCTCAGAGCAGGCATTCCTTCTACGGACTCCTTGAGTTATGATCGTGTCTGCACCGGCAGGCTTCCCTTAAGGATGGTTGCCTGTTGATTTCATCTGACATCAAAACAGCACCTCATCTGCTGCCATGCACATACTACAAAGCGTATTTGTTGAGTGTCTGCTGAATGGACTTGGAAGCACCTGTGGGGAAAGCCAAGCTCCAGGGCTGGAGGAAACCTGGAGTCTTGGATCCATCTATCCACTGATCTCCTACTAATGGCTCTTAAAACCTACAAAGCCATGCCAAAGTAAAAAACTAACACTGTAGGGAGAAATAATTTTTGGAGCAAATTCTTTTGCTAAGACAGAGATTCTCAAAGCATAACCCTCAGACCAATACCATCCATTATCGCCTGGGAGCTTGTTACAGAAGTGAATTCTGGAGCGCTACTCCAAACACACTGAATCAGAAACAATCGGTGTGGGCTCCAGCCATCTGTTAACAAACCAAGCACCCAGGTGATCCTGGAACTCACTAAAGCTTGAGAAGATTCAGGCCTGACTCCATCCACCCTGGTCCACCTCCCCTCCTAGTGGGCGGTTGTGAGGTGGAAACCACCCTGAAACCTGTGACTGCTCATTAGAAGGATCTAGATTCAGATCTTAGGCCTAGGGAGATCCTGGAAGCCAGATTCCTTCATAAAGAGCCTCAGGATGGAGTCTTGTCTTTTGTGGTTTTACTTGAATAGTGTCATTCTTAAGTCACTAGACCTTCAATGCAATGAAGTATCTATCTATCTATCTATCTATCTATCTATCTATCTATCTGTTTATTTTGATCTTTTGAGACAGGGTCTCCTCTGTAGCCCCAGCTGGCCTTGAACTCACAGAGACCTGCCTGCCTCTGCCTCCCAGTACTGGGATTAAAGGGATGTACCACCATGCCCGGCCTAAACGAGGTATTCATTAAATGTCTGATATGTGCCAGCCATGTGGTACCAGAACGATGAAGATGAAGGAGCCCCAGATCTGTTCCTCAGAGAGTTCTCAGTCTAGCAGAGACTATAAAGAAGAGGCAGGTAGGGTCATTGCTGCTGTGTGAGCAGGTGTGGTTGCGGGATGGGGGGCATATGAGAGGGGCAGCAGATGGCTTGACCTGGGGGAGATGGCTTCCTGGAGTAGTAGGGGAGATGGCTTCCCTGGTCAGGAGAGTGTGAGATGAATAAGACTTGACCTGGGGCTCCAGAGCATAGTCACCCAGTGCCATTAGGGGTACTGAGAGACATTTGCAGAATCACAAATGTGGGTTGGGGGAGCAAACAAGAAAAACCACTAGGCTGGACTTGATCTTGGCAATGAAGGACCAGGGAGGAGTTTACCCAGAGGATTAACTTAATCAGACTCACAAGTCAGCACACTGCTTGTAAAAATAGGGAAAAATCAAAATTATAATAATAATAAGCCAGGTGTGGTGGCGCACACCTTTAGCCCCAGTACTTAAGATAGTAGAGGCAGGCAAATCTCTGTGAAATAGAAGCCAGCCTGGTCTGAGTTCCAGGCCAGCTGGGGCTACAGGGAGACCCTGTCCCACACAAAACAAACAAAAAGAATGGACCAGAAGATGAGGCTGAAAGTGGCAAGATGCTATTTGCCTTAACTATGGGTGGAACAAGGTGTCGCCTTATGAATGGAAAGGAAGAATGGGGGGGGGGCGTCAAGATAGAATCTGCTAGAAAGGGATCTAAGAAAGCAAGAAGGGACCAACTAATGTGGCTTCTCTGGTGCACACTGCCCAGTCTGGCCTCATCTGACACCAGGTCCTGCTTCCTTCTTGCCCTCCTACTCACTGACCTTTTTAATTCCTGAGCAGCTTTCTCTCCACCATAGAGCCTTCCTGCAAGCCCCTCTACCTAGCACATCTCCCCACCCCCCGTTTGCCTGATGAGCATCTAATCATCCCTCATCTCTTAGTCCTAATGTCCTTCCCCAGGGAGGTCTTGCCAATCATCAGGACCCTGGTGTTCACCTTCCTC